TCTTACCATGGAAACAGCCAAAAACATGTTGCTTGTTTTTTCAGCAGAGCAATCGCCAACCCGCTTACTGGCTTGTATTGTCTATGTACAGGACTGTTAACTAGTACTTACTTTATACTTGACAGTGTCTGACTGTTATTATGATATGATTTGGGGTGTCTGTTTTAAAACAGCGACTACAGATAAAATGATCTCAGCATTCCCACTGTCTTTTTTAACTGAGGGTATATGTACCCTCTATACAGAAAACTGGAGGTATAACACAAATTTTGGGGGTACACGTGTACCCTCTACATCAAAAATTGGGGGTATTTCTAGGAGGGCCAGTATTATTCATCTGCACTGGGAGTGGTTGTTGTAGCACAGAATAAAGATTATACACAAGATTTCACAGAATTTATTTATTTTGCAATTCTCATTTTTAGACAAATTTACACACGGTCTTCATGAAATTTTATAGCTGCTAATCTGACAACCTCATCCTGATTGTATCCTGGTTGCTTGGATGCATACTCAATTATCATTCTATGTTCAACACTGTCAGTAGTTCTTCTACTCGTGGCAGCATTATGATGCCTATTTTGTAACGAAAAACCACGCTCACAGGGAACAGATGTGAGAGGACAAGTAACAAGGATACTGGCAAGAATTTGAAAATCATGAAAATTATCATATTCATTTACAATCAATAAACAGAAGTCTTGTAAGCTCAAATCTCTGTTAACATTTACTAAATGTTTAAACTGCAAAAATACATCCCTGCTTCTCTGAGCATTGATGGACATTTCGTCATCCCCTCCATATTTTACAATGCACCTTTCTAAACTATCATTTCCATGGTTTCTAATGCCTACTTCATGCATGGGCAATAATTTTGGATTTAATACAACATTTAGGTCATTTAGAATACCCAACTCATCATCAGGAAATCTGTTGTCAATTTCACTTAGCAGATTATTAACATACTTTATTTTCAAACGATGCAACACCAAGCTGTCTTGCAAACTAGTGGAATACCTTGGAATTCCTCATTCTCATCAATCATTTGGATACAAGTCGACAAAGTTGGGGGGTCATTGTCACGATAAGAATTAATTAGATTTCTAGTTGCCTTAATCACAGTTTTCAGTTGGTGTATATCCAAAACATTTTTCTGGAATGTTTTAGAAACTTGATCCAGATTTTTCAAAATGTCTTTCAATAAGCACAGTGCTGCAATGAATTTAAAAGTTTTGATTTTTTTTAATATGCCCTTGGCTTTGTTACCTCCCTCGCTGTTTGGCGAGGAAGCTACCTCATGCTCAAGTCCTAATACCAGGGCAGAATACGACTCGTAGCAAGCATCGACAGCATCAGACATGGATAACCATCTGATCTGGCTGGGCCTTTTAAAGCGTTTCACTTTTTTGCCAAGTAATGCCTGCAACTCTTTTATCTTCACATATCTTGGAGCAGAGTAATTGTAGAAATTGTATATGGCAATTAATATTTCATTAATGGAATGCAAATAAGGTATACGTTTTGATGCCCAATATGAAACTAGAGCAAGCCTATGAGCTGCACACCAGATATGAACTATTTTGGGATTTAAAGCTTTTAGCCTGACCCCCACACCTGTTAATCTTCCTGTCATAACTGAAGCACCATCGCTCCCAAAACCACTGACTTTATTTATATTATAGCCGATTTCCTGCAACCACTCAACAATACAATTGTACACAGTATCTGCCTTCCCATCATGAATACTAATATTGGCAGCAAATTCAATTTGTATTTTCCCATTGTGAATAATTTTGCAAAACATTATCAGTTTTTTGTTTGTGGCAATGTCTAGAGACTCGTCAACCATTATCCCCAAAAATGGACTGTCTTTAATGCGCACAATAGCCATTTCTTTCAAAACTTTAGCCATATATTCCTGCATTGTCGCTGGGGCTTGGTGGTTGGTGTATATACCCTTTCTATCTGTGAAATGAGATGATCCATTTGCAATCTGGTAAGAAGAAAAAATACAGTATATTTAATTACTGTGGAATACTTTATTTTCACTGGAATTAATTTTCGCTGAAAAGGGTTTTTGGGAGTTTTGTATGGAATTTATTTTCACTGATTTTTGATGAGTTTAATGTGAAATATAGGAAAAAAAGTATATTCGCTGGATTTTATTTTCACGGAATCATCCCTTCAGCGAAAATAGCGAAAATAAATTCCAAGCGAAAATAAAGTATTCTACAGTATATGAAGAATAAAGTACTGTGCAAAAGTAACACTCAATTATAATCAATTGGCAATGTCTTACTGAAAGTGACAAAAAACAGAAAATATACTAGTTCTCACCTGCAAGTCAATGAGTGGCAGAAATTTATTATTGGCTATATTCTGCTCTGCCATCCAGGCAGCTGTTCTTAATTGTGATTCAAGCATTGGCATATATTGCTTCTGTACAGTCACTTTAGCTGCTGCCATAAACCTCTGCTGAGTAACTGTTTTCTTGGCCAAGACATGGTCATCACTGTTCATATGTCTAGTAAGTGCAGACCGCTGATAATTTGATGTGCCTTTAACAAATGCATTAGATTTAAGACTGTTTCTGGCACCACTGGCAAGTTTACAAGTACCACAAAACATTAATGCATGATCAGAATTGTGTTGTAGCCAATCAAATTCCATCAACCATTTCTGTTAAAATCTTTTCTTGAATTTGGGCTTGTCCTTGTCTTGTGTGTAGCCAGATTCTTTCTCTCTGGTGCTATCTGCGAGGTATGAAATTATTAGTTAAGCACACCAGTGACTAAAATGTTAAAACAAGTCAACTACACTGCCAGCTGGCCACCTGCTTCTGTGACAAGCAAATTAAATTTAAATTTTATGTGGTATTCCAATCATCGCACAATATGTTGGTACCTTAACAACAAACAATTAAAAATTAAGGTAAAAAAAAGTTATAGTCACTGGGAGTCTAGTTTTTAAATAAAAAAATACCAATGCAATGTCAGTGATTCATAAGTATAAATTGTAATAAAATATACAAAACAGTAAAATATTAATTTTAAAAAAAACACTACCTACAGAATAAAATTTCGTTTAATACTGCATCATATAATATATAACGGTATACAATTTCAAAGTCACTGGAAGTGGTATTAGTATTTTATCAAAACAAACATTTCATATTAAAATGAAGGCAGGCTTTTCTATTTTAATTCACATTTTAATTTATTTACCTAAACAATTACAAAATAACTTTTGACCTGCAGTATAGGTTTTACCTGTCGTCACATGGTGTTCACAGACTTCGGTTTCAGAGGCTACTACTTGGCCCTCCACGAGCTTATGATTAAAATCCACAGCATCTGCCTGCTCCGGGTAAACATCTTCGGGCGTGACTGCCTGTTTTTCGTTTTGAACACCAAACTGTCCATGGTGCGTACCGCTACCTGCCGTAAAATAATTAAATATTGTGTTAATACGATCATGCTGACCCTCGGCTCTGTCGGCCATGGTAGAATTCCAGCACGTGACAGTTCAGAGTTGGCAAATATTTTGCACGAAAAAAACCATTAAAATTAACTACAGTAAAATTCTACTGTTACAGTGTACGAGACAGTAAAAATCAAACATGTGTTACGGCTTGGATTCCCACATTGTCACTACAATAAACGCATTATGCAAGCAAATATCAATGAATACGTTGTTCAAAATTACAGAGATTACTTTAAAAACAGCGAAAATAATTTGAAAACAGAATACATACCAGTTATACAGTTGATATGTTCGAGTTAAACGTGTAAGGTCCTCGCTAACTGCAAGCAACTACGAGCTAATATGCCGCCATTTTCTTCTACAATGACCGTCGTTTACGATGACGTCACTGATGTTTTATCACGTAAACGGTCGTTTGATTGGCGATTTTTCCATCATCATTACAAAATTAACCAATCATTTTTTCTGTTACAAAAAACTACACCTACTGTTTGGCTTTTCCATCTTGCGTTCAACACCCGACGTTTTACGTAACTTACAAGCCGGTTGTCAAATGTCCGCGCGGAGTTCAATGATTTTCAGGCTAAATTAACGTTGACGTAGACCTATGAAAAACGTACGCGCAAAATAATTTTATACGTAAATGGAACGTAGATGAGTTGAGATTTGGCGCGCACTATTTTATTTATACGTGAATTACGTACTGCAGTACGTGAATGGGAATGCTGATACTAGAGACATATGATTCTATGGCAACCCCATAGATTGACTGACACCTAATGCCGTGTTTACGAGTCAAGCCCTGAAAAGGGCTGCCACGTTGGCTCGCCGTGATGGCAGCCATCTTGGTTTGGCT